TGTGACTAGACCATGGTACGTAATGTATTGCCATATCTAAACCTGCTACTTAGAAACAAAGGGCAATTAATTTGTATGTATGAAAATGCACTTACAGACTTTAGAGTGAAAAATGCCCACACTTGAGCATTAATGTGTACGCTAGGGTTATTCATAAAATCTAAAACAGTATGATTAAATCAAATGCCTGGATAAATATGATTGGATAAATAAGATATGACATCCATATACAGAAATATAGTGTTGATCAAGGGAGTGTGAAGTACTGATGCTTGCTATATAGTGGGGATGAACTTTGAAAACATTATGCCAAGGGAATGTAACCAAACAGAAGGACTTCATATTATAATTTAGTCTTGTGAAATCTCCAGAGTAGGTCAATTTAAAGAGACAGAGTAAATTAGGGACTCATCGCTCTCTGCTTCCTGACTGAAGGCACGATTTGACCAGCTCCCTCAAGCTTCTGGCACATGATATCATGCCATGACGACGGTACCCTGGAACTGTAGTGTAGAGATTTTAGTATGTGCCCCTCCCTTCGAATGCAAATCTCCAGGGAATGATCAGGGAGCTTCTCTGGGAGCGCCCCTCAGTCACTTCTTCTCTTCCCTGAATTTCACCATGCTGCCCACTGGGGACCTTGCTTCCCTTCATTCCACAATCCTTACAATGACCTCTGGAGATATAATAGAGAGTCCCTGCCTGAAATGCTTACGTAGAAGAGTTTTAAAAGTTAGGCCAATCAGGCCAGTTCAGGCTTCTCTGAGGTATAACCCAGAAGAAATGTAGATGATTCTTTTAAAAAATATATTTTTACTTATTATTTGATATATATAATATCTTTTTTAATCTTTCCAAAAATTTATTGGCTTTATATATTCTGCGAGTTTGTGTGTTAAAATCCTTTGGCTACTTTATTTTCTTTAAAGCTTTAAAAATGTATTAATTTATTCTTTGAGATTTCATACATGCATATAATGTATATGGTCATATACCCCCTTAGGTCCTCTCACACACCCCATACAGGTCCCTTTCCCATCTTCATGTCCCCCCGCTTTTCCTCATAATCAACTGAGTTCAACTAGTGCTGTCTGTATGGGTGTGGGGAGGGCACCCTCTGCATTATGGGAACCTACAACTGGCCACACCTCTGGAAAAAAAGACTGTCCCGTAGCAGCCATAAACTGCCAGTGAGCTTATTCAGCTGGCCTGGGACCTTATGAGCCACACCCCTGTCTGTGCTAGAATGGTGACTGGCTTAATCTTATGAGGCTTTGTGCAGTTAACCACAGTTGCTGTGAGTTATGAGTTCAATGTCCACATCATATCCAGAAAAAGGAATCTTACAGCTTCCTTCTCATTAGTTATTTTCTTTCTGTCTTCTCATCCTAAGATGAGGTCGATATAGATGTCTCATTGATCATTCACAGCTACTTATTCTGAGAACTTTGACCAGATAGGAGTATATACATGGCTTCTGCCCACTGCAGAAGGAATTTCTTTGGCCAAGATTGAGAGCAGCACTAACTTATGGGAATAAACATTAATATTCAGACAGCAGCTTAACAGCATTACCATAGAGCAAAAACACCAGTAATAGGCTGCTGCCCTGGTTGGCTTTGGAGGTCAGCTTGACACAGCCTGGAATTATCCGAGAGGAGATCTCAATTGAGGAAATTCAAGCATCAGATTGACCTGTAGAGATGTCTGTGGGATATTGTCTTGATTGTTAATTAATGTCGGGAGGCCCAGCCCACTGTGGGCAGTTCCATCCCTAATCAGGTGGTCATGAATTATATAAGAAGGCTAGCTGATTATGAGCTGGTCTGTGGGCCAGCTAGCAAGCAGCATTCTGCACAGACTATGCTATACTTACTGCCTGTGAAGTGAGTCCCTTAGTTGGAGGTAATGCTGTGTGGAATAGCAGGCAGATCTGCCTTCAGGTTCCTGCCTTGACTTCGCTCACTGTGACCTGGACTTGTATGCTAAAAGAAACCTTTTCTTCTCTAAGTTGCTCTTGGCTTTGGTCATAGTATTCATCACAACATTATGAAAGAAAAATAATTAGAGCAGTTTCCCCCTAGGGTATCCTGCCTGGCAGTGGTGGGGCACACTTCAGTCCCAGGTAAAGGTACCTGTCTGTAAGCCTGCCAACCTGTGTGATTCCTGGGATACACTTGGTAGAAAGAGAGACCTGACTCATATACTCTGACCTCCACACAGTTGCCATGCACTGTGCACACACACACACACACACACACACACACACACACACACTTTCAAAATGTAATAAAAAAGAATGCATTAAGTTATCTAGCATTTGGGAGACTGAGGCAGGAGGATTACCACAAGTTCAAGGCTAACCAACACTATATAGCAAGAGCACAGTAAGGTCAGGGACACTGGTGCTCAGTTAAGGAGCTGGTACATGCTTTCTTTCTTATTCTTATTTTAGAAGAAATTAAAAATTAGGCTATGAAAGGGGAAGGACACCAATGCACATTCAAGATGCTCCCAGAGGATATATTATTATTATTATTATTATTATTATAATTATCTTGCGGGGGGAGGGGAGGCTTGAGAAAGGTTTTCTCTGTGTAGCCCTGGCTGTCCTGGAATTCACTCTGTAGACCAGGTTGGTCTTGAACTCAGAGATCTGCCTACCTCTGCTTCTGAGTGCTGGGACTAAAGGCATGCGCCACCACAACTGGCTATCACAGAGGATATTTAAATCCTCTTGCTTACTGTTACAAAGTAGTGACGAAAGTTTCAATTTGATTCATCCAGGCAGCACTGCTTCATTGTATGCATGAATCTGAATTATCTGAGATTGAATTGAAAGTTCCAGTCAATCAGATAACCCCTCGGAGGAGCTGGTTAGCTGAGAAAAACAAAACCTAAAAATGATAAAGTTCTTAGGATTTACTTGGGTTACTCTTAATAACCCTAACTTACAAAATTAATGTACTAGATACCAGATTGAGATAAAGTTGAACAAAAATTGGCTAGGTTTCTTGATTTTCTTGATTCCTGGAGAAATCACATATCATGTTTGAAATTTTTGGCAAACCTCTGTTTTCAGTTACTGGGGTTGGATGGCAGGTGTTTGTAGAGAAGGAGTTAATTTATGTGTGGTTTGAATGAGAGCAGGCTCTTTTTTTTTTTTTTTCGAGACAGGGTTTCTCTGTGTAGCTTTGTGCCTTTCCTGGAACTCCCTTTGTAGACCAGGCTGGCCTCGAACTCATAGAGATCCGCCTGCCTCTGCCTCCCGAGTGCTGGGATTAAAGGCGTGTGCCACTACCGCCCGGTGAGAGCAGGCTCTTTAGGAACTTCATGGCCATTGTCCAGTGGGTTCTGACGGATACACACAACCTCAGTTCCAAGGAAGCATCAGCCACATACTTGTTGGTATACTGGAGCCTCTTGTCAAAGACCACGACTACCACCCCAGATGGCCACTAGGATGTTGGACTAGGAAGTCATCAAGATTTCCGACCAATCTTTTCCCTTGGGAAATCAGTTCTCAGTTTGTAAGCAGACTTTCATTCTTGTTGCAGAGGGACACAAATTCTGATATGTGAAGTCCCATTGCAGGAAGCTACCTGAGGAAGGAGCAGGACCCTGACCATACTGAAGGTAAAGGACCTCAGATGACCATTAGCCAGAGCCAGTGCATGACACGCATCAGAATCCTTAAAAACATGCATGTGGTTGACTCAGCAATTCTTTTTCTGGAATTGATTCTAAGGAAATGTTAAAGCTTGGGGAAAAGGTTTTGTTTTTGCATATTGAAATGTTTGTTTATGACGAGAAAAATGGCAATAAGCTAAATGCTCTGTTGTAGGGGAGTAATTAGCCATTAAGAAATGTTACTGAATTAAACAACAACAAAAACTAAAACCAACCAAACGAAAACAAAAGCACTGTACATAAAAGAGATTGCCTTGCAAACCTGAGTTCGATCCCTGGATCCCACCACGGAGGAGGTTGGAGGAAAAAAAAAAAACAGTTTCCAAAAGTTGTTCTCTGACCTCCGCAGGAACACTGTGGCGTGGGTGTGCCTACACTCACACATCACAAATGTACACACACACAAAGTGTTAAGGGAAAACCGAGGTTCCCTTTGTGGGCTCTTAGTCCTGTTAATTAAAAAAGTTAGAGAATCAGAAGGAAGCTCAGGGATCATTTTATTAGAGTTTCAGAGGAAAACAGTGGGGCAGGCAAGCTATAAATCATGGCAGCTGCCAGAAACAGAGGGATGGAGAAGAGGAGAGAAAGTTAGGCTTTCCAGTTAGGACCCAAGAACTCAAATTCAGCCATGAAGTTCAACAAGCAGCTGCCGGGGTTGGGCTTGGAGAACTTCAGAGACCTCCACAAATGCAGAGTCTAAAGTGTCAGGAGCCCATGCTTAGGCTTTTGGTCAACATCCAAAGAACGAAATAGAAAGAAAAAAGGAAAAGTTACAGGTTTAAAGAATTTTATTTATTTACTATTTATCTTTATGTATGTGGGTGTTTGTCTGCATGTATGTCTGTGCGACCAGGTGTTACCTGGTGCCCAGAGAGGCCAGAAGAGGGCGATAGATCCCTCTGAAACCGGAGTAACAGACCTTTGCGAGCAGCCACATGGATTCTCGGAATGGAACCCTGGTCCTCTGGAAGAACATCCAGTGCTTGTAACCATCGAGCTATTGTTGTGTCCAGACAGTGACCCCCAGAGAGACCACCAAAGATGAGCATGCCGGAATGCAAAAGCAAGGTTTAATTCTGGATATCCAAAAGCAATACAAGCCTAGGCAGGGACTTCGTCCAATACATCCAACGCAGTGGAGCCTGGAGGAAGTGCCCACCTATCTGCAAGCTCAGCTTTTAAAGGGAAAAATCACAAGGTTACACCATTTAGGGGGTGCTAGTACGGGTACAATTCTGATTGGCTCGCTTCTAGGGACCTCTAGAAATTACTTCTAAGGGAGTGGTTGCCCGCCACCATTTCTCATTGGCTGCCCTCAGGTGGGAGTATTTCTGTGGTCAGTTGCCCTGGAAACCAGGGAGAGAACATTCCATAGTTCGGCAGGCATTATCTCGTGACTATCTTGTGACTCTGTACTTTTACACTTCCTGGTTTCTGGAATCTGAACTGACTGGTTTCAGTAACTAATGGCCTATTCCCAAAAGGAGAAATCTTAGGCCTTAATTTTAGGGTGAAAGCATTTTGGTCTTATTTCTAAGATGGCTCATTTTGGTCTCACACTATCAAAGATACAGCTTTTGAGTCAGAATTGAGAAAATTGTTTTTTTTTTTCTTTTTTGAGCAGGCTTAGCAGTAAGGTGTGGTGGAAGCTCTGAAAATAACAACATTGAAAAGTTTTAATCCCCCGCCTCCCCTGCGGTAAGTAACGCTGCCGATGTAGTAAATCAGATCAGGCCCGAATTATTAAGTCCAGGTTTCATGAGCAGAGCAAAGCAACTCCTAGGTGACTCTTGGGAAGGCGGGAGAGAGTATGAGAGCACACGGCAGGTACGGTGACCAGGTCTTAAAAGTAGCCTGTAGGTGTGGTCTTGAGCAACCCTGGGGAGGGGCTGACTCTTGGCGGGCTTTCTTAGGGGTGGGGTCTGGGGGGAGAGAGAGGCGGGGCTTCCACTTAACCATCCCAGACTCCTTGGGTATATGGTGCTGGTGGCAGGGCTTCCACCTAAACAGAGATAACTATTCCTCCATCTTCATAGCATATCTTCAGGTGAATCAGATTTCCTGTGGAAGTCTCTTGGTTGGGTGATTGACAAGCCTGTTGGATTAGCTCTTAAAGGAGGAGACAGTAATATGAAATGTTCTAATCTTTGGAGCAGATCAGAATGTCCCTAAGGGCAGGAGAGTGCAAAAGAAAGAATTAAGATAAGGGAGCAAAAAATACCGTTTGCTCAAGCCCTGGTTGCTGGGCTATCTCTAGTAGCTAGGTAAACAATGTATAAGTAGTAGTGGGAAAATAAAAAGGGAACCCAGAGTCTTGTGTCTCTGTCTACCATTGCTCGTTTTTCTTGGTCCCTGTGATACCCATGGCTGTGCTGGCTCTCCTCATGGGGAGAGGTGGGTACTTTCCTAGTATGTATGCAAAAGGCCCTGGGCTCAATCTCTAACACCCACCCTAGACCACTGAAAGAGCTAAGGGCTTGGTTAATCCAAGCCTGTCAGCCAAAAAAGATAACCTGGGCTCAGTCCCTAAAACCCACCCCAGTACATTGCAGATATATATTTGCTAATGGTGCAATGTAACTTTTAACTAAGAGGAAATAAATTCTGTGGCCACCTAATAACAATAGTTATGTTCCCAAAGAATAGGGAATAGGGTGGAGGAGGAGGTTTCAGAGATTAACATGAAAGGTAGCAACAGTGCAAGACTGGAAGTCCTTCCCCTCCTGGGCTTTACTCAACCAAGGGAGCATGCTCAAGAAGAGCTAACTTCGTAAAAACACTGGGAAAGGCAGATACTGTGTGAAATGTCATGCAGAGCTGTTTTCCCTTCCTCTCTTGGGTTGGGGTCATGATCCAGGCCTGGCATCATTCCTTTTTTTTTTTTTTTAAAGGTTTTATTTATTATGTATACAGTGTTCTGCCTGCATGTATGCCTGCAGGCCAGAAGAGGGCACCAGTTCTCATTATGGATGGTTGTGAGCCTCCATGTGGTTCCTGGGAATTGAACTCAGGACCTCTGGAAGAGCAACAGATGCGCTCAACCATTGAGCCATTTCTCCAGTCTCCCCCCTCCCCCATCATTCTTAGCTGATCAGAATCTCTTCTTTAATAAACTATCTCCTTGCATGTAACTATCCATGTGCGCCATACAGCCCATGGTAAAGAGGTATAAGAACCTGGGAACCCCGGTGGCTGCCTGCCAGACTCAGATCCTTGCCTGCAACAGTGGGGCGCCTGGAGTTTGTAAGCAAGGGCACAGTGAAACCACAAAACTGGACCACTCCGTGGGTAGAAAGAAAAGTTTATTTGGGAGTAAAACTGCCAGGTGTTCTCTTGGAGGGCAGAGAGTAGCAGCATAGGAAACGCCTTGTCAGTTTTAGGGAGACAGGCTGTAATAAGAGGAGAGCCATGGTCCAGAACAACCTGAGAGTCAGTGCAGGCTAGATGCCCTTGCCTCAGGTAGTTGACTCTTTCAGGCAGGTAGATAAGGCAGGTAGTGATTTTCCTGGTAAACAGAAACCTGCTCTTGAGCTTCCTGAGGAATGCTGAGTTTAGGCTTCTGTTTACGCAGCGACCTTCTGTTTCCCTGGCCAGAGTCCTGCCTGAGTTAGGACACTGTTGCTAGCACTACCGTTTTGCAGTCCACTCTGGACCTTCCAGAATTTACATGCAGAACACTAAACCTGAAAAGTATGTTCACAGCACACAACAGTTTTAAAGAACTGAGTAACTTTGTCAAATTGTCTCTACCAGGTTATGGAACTTTGTATATATTTTATTCTAACATGCATGGTAAATATATACCCACATCACAACAATGATTTCATAATTAACATTTGGAACTGGTCTTGGTGATGCAAACCTGTATAGCATTTTGTAGGCTGAGATGGTCTGGGTTGGGTGTTCTAAGAGGCTCTTGGCCTTTTATTCAGACAACTGAAAATAAGGGCTCACAGATTTATTATTTTTTTTTTTCGAGACAGGGTTTCTCTGTGTAGTTTTGCGCCTTTCCTGGATCTCGCTCTGAAGACCAGGCTGGCCTCGAACTCACAAAGATCTGCCTGCCTCTGCCTCTGGAGTGCTGGGATTAAAGGCGTGCGCCACCACCGCCCGGCTGCATTCACAGATTTTTAAAAGAAGCAAAATAACTATCCAGAGCAAAGTGATGTTACAGATTTAGAGAGGGATACGCTGTCAGGTGGACAAATGTGTAACTGGAGTTTTCTCCAGTCCTGCCTGGCCCACGGTCAGGCCAGTCCCTCAGCCACTCAGACCCAACCAAGTAAACACACAGAGATTTATATTGCTTACAAACTGTATGGCTGTGGCAGGCTTCTTGTTATCTAGTTCTTCTATCTTTTTTTTTAAAAAGATTTATTTATTTATTATGTATATAGAAAAGGGTGCCAGATCTCATTACAGATGGTTGCCAGCCACCACATGGGAGCTGGGAATTGAACTCAGGACCTCTGGAAGATCGGTCAGTGCTCTTAACCTCTGAGCCATCTTTCCAGCCCTAGTTCTTTATCTTAAATTAACCCATTTCTATCCATCTATACCTTGCCACATGGCTCGTGGCTTACTGGTATCTTACATGTTGCTACTCATGGTGGCGGCGGCCGGCCGCGTCTCATGACTCAGCCTTCCTGTTCCCAGAATTCTCTTCTCTGCTTGTCCCGCCTATACTTCCTGCCTCGCTACTGGCCAATCAGCATTTTATTTATACAGAGTGATATCCACAGCACAAATGTCCATGTGAATGAGAGTACTGAAGGGCCCTGATTATTGTTTGGAGGCTTTCATTCCCAGGATTGAAGGAGAGGAGGGGATTGGTTACTGGTGGTAATAGTGGTTCTCTATTTTGGTGGACAGGCTTAAACTAGCCAAACCTTTAGTCCCTGAGCATATCCTCTCCCATAATGCACCTGAATCTCTTATGCATACTAATTATGCACAATTTCTATAAACGTTTGCTTGAGAACACAGTTTTACTTTCCTGCACATGGGCCCCAAACCAGTTCGTGCGAGCTCAACCTGTTCAATCTTCCTTCCTAATACTTTGGTGATACACTTGACTAGAGATTGTCTAAACTTGATTGTTGCCAGGAGTGGTTCAGAGATAAGAGTAGCCCAGTGCAGGCTGGAGTCTGGAGGAGGGTGAGTGTGTGTGTGTGTGTGTGTGTGTGTGTGTGTGTGTAGTATATAAAGGTTATTCAAGAGGAAGATGTGTGTAACCTAAACCAAATAGAGTCCCAGGCTAAACCATTTCCTATGCTGCCTGCCTTGACCATGAGTTCTAGGCTAGCATGGGATACATAGCATGATTCTATCTCAGAGTAAGAAGCAAAAAATAATTGGAAGCTTTTGTAAATGGAACCAGGTCTGTTTGTCTTGTTCATGTTGGTCCTCATGGTCTAGCCCGATTGCTTGGCATACAAGCAGACACAGCGATTATTTCTTGAGTAAGCAGATGAATACTGATTTTTTTTCAAAGATTTATTTATTTACTATGTATACAGCATGTATGACTGCAGGCCAGAAGAGGGCACCAGATCTCATTATAGATGGTTGTGAGCCACCATGTGGTTGCTGGGAATTGAACTCAGGACCTCTGGAAGAGTCGTCAGTGCGCTTAACCTCTAAGCTATCTCTCCAGCCCTGAATATTGATGTTTTATAATTTCCCAAACAACTTCCTTTTTGTCTTGACAATCTAGGTATTTCTTCAATATCTTCTGCCTTTTTTATAAGCTGAGACATGATCTGCATTTAAATTTTTTTATTACCTTTATTTGGTTGTGTGGGGCAGGGAGCATGAGTATATGTATCACTGTGTCCATGTGGATGGAGGTCAGTTCTCTCCTTCTACCATATGGGTCCGATGATTGACTACAAGTGTCTTTATCCACAGAGCTACCTCATGAGCCCTGAATTCATGCTTCTTATAATAAAAACCATCACTGCCACTACCATTTGCTTTCCTTTTCCTTTTAGAAAATGGCCACTCACGGGGAGGTCTCTGAGCAAGTTCCCAAGTTTGATGATGATTTTCTCCCTGAGCTCTCTGCTCTTCTTGGTGTGGATGCAGCTCAGCTCACCAAGAGACAACAAGAAGAAGACCATAAAGAACAAATAAAAATGAAGACAGGTTTTAACTCGCACATGCGCAGTGAAGCCAAGCGATTAAAGACTTTCGTGACCTATGACACGTTCAGATCATGGACGCCACAGGACATGGCAGCCGCTGGGTTTTACTTTACTGGGGTGAAACTTGGGGTTCAGTGCTTCTGCTGCAGCTTAATCCTCTTTTGTACCAGCCTAAGGAAAACTCCCATAGAAAGCCACAGGAGATTGTGCCCAGGATGCGAGTTCCTTTTGGGCAAAGACGTCGGTAACATCGGCAAGTATGACATCAGGGTGAAGAGTCCCGAGAAGCTGAGAGGTGGCAAAGCAAGGTACCAAAAAGAGGAGGCCAGACTGGAGTCCTTTGAGAACTGGCCGTTTTATGCCCATGGGACATCGCCCCGTGTGCTCTCAGCAGCTGGCTTTGTCTTTACAGGTAACTGGATTCCATTTTGTGAGGTGTTTCTATAAAATATAAAGTTTAGTTTCATGTTTTTATTTGCAGTATTTGTCAATTGTTAGCTGTTGCATTATATATATATATATATATATATATATATATATATAAAATAAAAGGTTACTTTTCTTTAAATATGGACATTAGAAAATATTGCTGTGGCCTCAGGGTACAGCTTGGTGCTAGACTGCTTAGCTAGGATGTGCAGGGCCCTGGGATGTGCCTATGAAAGAAGACCATGGCTAGAGGGTGGAGGTCCAATACGCAGAATTGCATTATTGGGGTCATTTACAGTAGTGGAACTCTGGATGTAGATTCAGCCAGAGAGGTCATAAAGAGTCCATTTTGGTTTGGTAAAATATGGTAGCCTCCAAGAGACATCTGGTGCCATTGCTGGCCAGTCAAAACATGTCACTGCATCTGCAGGTAAAAGGGACACCGTGCAGTGTTTCTCCTGTGGTGGATGCTTGGGAAACTGGGAAGAAGGAGACGATCCTTGGAAGGAGCATGCCAAGTGGTTCCCCAAGTAAGTGAATAAATATTTTATGATTAAAAATTGCAATTTTTAAAAAAGCAGAATAAAACTAGAGACAAAAGAGCCACATTGTTGGAGTTTTCCTTTGAGTTCTGATCTTTCTTTTATTCAATATAGGATCACCCAGAATTTTTCAAGCAAGGAAGAGCTAGTCACACACAAACTTACAGGCAGATCTCTGTGAGTTTGAGGCCAGCCTGGTCTACAGAGTGAGTTTTAGAAGAGCCAAGGCTGGGAGGTAGAGGCAGGCAGATTTCCGAGTTCAAGGCCAGTCTGGTCTACAAAGTGAGTTCCAGTACAGCAAGGACTAAACAGAGAAAACCTGTCTTGAAAAACCAAAAAAAAAAAAAAAA